CAATAGCAAATCGATCAGTTAATTTGATAATGATAGAAAACGAGTTAGTGAATGAACAAAATTGAATATAAACGTTGTACATTTCTACAATGTACATTACGCTGCACCAATAAAACATTTTTAAATTTCAGTTGCAAACCTCAACCTATCAGCTTCAAATTTGGCATGGAGTCTTAGATATATATAAGGAACAATCCATGAAGGGTGCAACTTTGAGGAAAATTCCAACCTATAGCACATGTAATTCAAAAAGAATATAATATAGTCAAGTTGGTGATTTCAGCACAATCTTAAACAAAAATTTAGGCAGGAAATGCCATCAATACTAGAAAGAGTGATAACATCCGGCTTAAAGCCTATTTTCCTGAAAAACTATTTTAAGTGAAAGATTTTATGAGTTTTGATTCACGGTAACACTAAATGTTCAGTCAATGACTGCCAAATGTTTCCTTATAAGGAAACAACAAATCTCACCATTACTTGCCATTATTCTTGATGTATATTTTAGAATAGTAGCCATTTTTAGCATTTGCATTATCAAATAATCCTCTATTTTGAAATATTTGCATCTAACAAACACGTATGCACACACTCATTTAAGCAATAGTAATTTTCATGTGGCTGCCATTGGTTGGTGTGTGTGGCATAAAAATAAAAGAAACATAGGATTTCAGGCAGGCAATCCTCTCCCACTTGGCGGAATGTGCAACACAATCTTCCTAATCTGTTCTTGGTTTAGCTTTGTATCTCGCAATGATAAACTAAATGCAATGAGTGGGTGCTAAAATGTTCTCTACCTGACTCACTTCCCCCAAAATCTGATCAAATGGTTTTTTTTTTTTTTGCCTAGGTGGAGTGGGAGAAATGTTTCTTTTGTCTGGCTGAGAAATATATATATTCTTATATATGTAAAATATAGAGTAAAGCCAGAAATGTCTGTCTGTCACCAATACTTCAACACTATAATCAAATCATATGTGCTGGTGTCTGGGCTGTCGGTTCCTAGGAACTGAGCTGCTTGATCCTTATACATCAAATATGACAGAAGAGTCTACCATACATACACACACACACACACACACACACATATATATATATATATATATATATATATATATATATATTAAACATTTATATAAAATTTTTCATGAGCTGAAGATTGCATTTAAACCTGAAACAAACTGTTGTCAATGGGTGTTGACCTCAATGTCCACTTTTGTATCATCCTGGGTAAGGCAATAAACTACATCCAACAGCAAGGCCTCTGATCAGGAGGTTTTGAGGAGCATGGAACTACTTTTTAATTACTGGTATTCTCAGGTTAGGGTACCAGCTATGAGGAAATAGTTGACCCCCAAACTGGGGTCAAAACACTATGAAAGTGTAAAAATAGGTTTTAATACCAGAAATACTTTGTAAAAACAATAAATAAATTATTTGAAGAAAAAATTATTACCAGCAATACAATTTAGGCAAAAAAAGAAAAAAATTACCAGCTATACATTTTTGTTAAAAAAAAAAAAAAAAAATCTATATTAGCAGCTATACATTTTTTGAAAAAAATTACTGGAAATAGTTTTTGAAGGAAAAATATTATTAGCAATACATGTTTGAAAAAAAAACAAATATTACCAACAATAAAAATTGTCGGCATTAAATAACCCATTGAAGTTGATATGCTGTAAAACTAACCAAATCAAACCACTTCTTTATATATATATATATATATATATATATATATATATATATACTTCCAGTCTATTGCCTGTTGACAACTTATATATAATAAGTCACTACTTTGGAAGAGTATTGGAGGGGAAATTATTATTATCTACCTAGCTCATTCTGGTTCATAATTTTCCAACATAAACTTTCTTAAGTGTCTGCATTTTGCCATTATTTCCGATTTTCGTTAATTAATTCACTGTTATCAGTATGAGTTGCAATGACTAGTTTATCTTCTTGACATAAATTGCAAGGTTCACCAATTATTTTTTTTGTCTGTACTTGTCGTAGAACCCTCCATTTGATATTAGGACTTTTACTGTATTTTTCTTTAAACTTCCAATAATGGTCTGCGAGCCTTGTGTTGTATCATTGGTGCTGGGCCCTAAACGAAGAAGTATGGTTATACCTTCTCTTTTTTTTGAATTGGCACTCTGTACAACCAATATATTTCTTGACTTTACCATTATTGCTCTCTACATCAGCACAGTATATGACCCCTTGCCTACAACACACCCCATTTAAAGGACAATTTTCTTTGTTTCTGCAGTTACACAAAGTTGTATTTCCACCTCCTTGTTCTTCTGTTTCAACGTAGTTTCTTCCATTAAGCTCTTTAATTATATTATTAACATTGCTAGTACAGCTGTAGCTTATTTTTATTGTTTCTGTTAAACAATTTGCTTAATGCCGACCCTTTTGGGAAATGTTTTCTTAAAAGTATGAAGAACATTTTTCTGATATTTGTCTTTATCTTGATGATAAAAGGTAGATTGAACCAAATAACATTACATCTTTTGTTATACAGTGTAACCCAGATATAAGAGTTGTCGGGACCGGAGAAGAACTCTCTTATATCCGGGTTTGGTCTATTTTATATACATTAACACAGGCTCTAATTTGGGACCAGAGAAAATCTCTCTTATATCCGGGTTTCTCTTATATCCGGGTTACACTGTAGTTATTTCTTGGATTTTGTTGGTTCACAAATTTCAAATCAACTTTGTGTCCTTCCTCTCTCAATGCACTTTCATATATCTTCTTAGTATTAAATATTTCTTCATTAGAAAAATTTGTACATAATCAGTTTTGTATCCCAAATGGGACGTGTTTTATAACATTTTTTGGATGGTTGGATTACATGTTAAAATATTTTTAAGTTAAAAAAATATTTTATGTTAACATATTTTTAAAGGTTGCTTCCTTTTAGTATCTTAGTTTTTAAGAATATAATTTGCTCTACTAGTTTACTTTTGTATTGAGCACTATTTTTTATCTTGCTTATAATTTAGTAATATGTCCTTTTGATAGTGTTACTAATTTTTGATTTATATATATATATATATATATATATATATATATATATAAGAACAGTGCTCGATACAGAGTAGAGCATAATATTATAATTATTTTAAAAAAATTTAAAATATAATTGGCCCTTCTCTGGCATCTTGTCTACAGACACTTTCTTACAGACGCATAGTCGCCTCTTTCTGTCTGTTTTACAAATACTTTCATGGCAATTGCTCCAAGGAACTGCATTCGCTTGTTCCCAGACTTCATGAGTTCAAGCGCCCTATGAGGCTGGCATCCCACACTCATCCTTTCACTGTCAAAACTCCTAAATGTAGCCATCTCTTCTACTCCAATAGCTTCATGTCTTGCACCTCCAGCCTGTGGAACTCCCTTCCATATTCTAGTTTCCCCGAGAGCTATAATCTCCAGCTATTCAAATGTAATGTCAATTGACATCTCCAGCTGCCTTGATCTATCCACTACCCTTCTCCTCATCGTTTCTTCTATCACTCCTATCTGACCTTGCTCGAAATTTTTCTGTAACCCCTTGCGTCCTAGTGGCATCTCACCTTGCTTGGGGTGAAATGCTTAAAAAAAAAAAAAAAGTGTTCATTGCGACACCGAAATTACCATATTTCAAAACCTAAATCTTAAATTAAACTTAAAATTTAAAGTTCAGTTCCATCTTCAAGCGATGCAGAATAATTTCTGTTGCGATGAATACATATTTTTAATAAATTATATATATATATATATATATATATATATATATATATATATATATATTTTTATTTTATGTATTTAGGTAGCAATCCTTCTTTGATGCAAGCTTCATTAAATATGACAGACCTTGTGTTTTAAGTTTTTTTATATAATTTCTCATGTGATCTTTTAATTTTTTTTTTTCTTTTCAGTCAATAAATTATACAAAAACTGTCCAAATGTTATTTTTGCTAGCGCTTTCGGCTATACATTTAGCCATTTTCAAAGATGAAATATATTTAATGTTTTGAAAATAAAACATTCTATAATACTAAATACATACATACATACAACAATCCATTTCCAGTTAAGAGTAAATATATTCCATCCTTGAAAATGGCTAAATGTATAGCTGAAAGTGCTCAGAAAAATAAAACATTTTGACAGTTTTTGTATAATTTATCTACTGAAAAGAAAATTATAAGATCATATGAGAAATTATATAAAAAACTTAATCAAAGCACCTTGTCTGTCGTATTTAATAAAGCTTGCAGATATATATATATATATATATATATATATATATATATTTATTTCTCTCTTTTTTAATTAATTTATTTTTTTTGTAATATGTTTGTTTTTACACTATTTACATTATTCAGACTATTGTCCTCATCTTTGTCGCCATGTTTATCACAATGTTTCAGCCGTTGTATACTCTGGTCTTCTTCAGGTGGTTGGAATGTTGAACTTAACCTATTATTTCGCTCACTGGGGTAAACTGTTCTAGTTCCACATGCCATGTCTAATGGATGTCAGTTATCGCCTGTTAATTCCTCTCTGAAAGTTCTCCTCTGCCTTAACCAGGTATTGAACTCACACTCTTTGGGTCCTGTCACTGGATCTAACTAACGCCTTTATCCGCTGTGCCATGTATTGTTTTTGTATTAAATTTATTTTGTACCAATTTATTTACCATTTCTCGTATATAAATGGACTGCTCCACTATCTTAAATCTAGATTATAAATATTGAAACATTAAAACGGTCAGTTTTCAATTTGTGCTTGATGATTTCCACGTGCATGAAATTTGGTTGCACCAAACGGTGAGGAATAAATATATATTTATTATTACGAGATATATATATATATATATATATATATATATATATGTGTTTGTGCAAGCTTGTGCTATCAAGTATTGACTTTCTTTTTGCAGAAAATATACAAAAGATTTATTTGCTTGTGTGAATGTTTCTTCACTTTCTATTTTCCAGTTTAGAAGTGTTGGATAAGATCGAGCCACCTCAAATCTCTGATGGCTATGGTCTTTCCCTTGCTTTCCATTGTCTGATGGAGATTGTCAAAAGTGTTCAGTTTCTGATTGAAGGGGAGGCAGAGGAAGGCAAAGACGAGCTGGTTGAACAGAAAAAGAGTCCAACCACACCAACTGAAGGTAAGTTGATGTATCCCAACAGCAATTTCACTTTGCTGTCATTGTTGATGTGTTTTATACAAAAGCTGTACTGCTTGTCAAGAAATGACTATTGACCTTTTTGTCAGGTAGAAGAATTTATTTATTTATTTATCTATTGAGTATGTCATGCCTGCATGATGTTCCTTGTAGATGCTCATAAAATATCCTGGCAGTTCAAACAAGGGCGCAGAGCAATAATATGCAGTATATTCCTTTCAAAATGTATAAACTCTGTTTATACTATCTATTTTCTCTTTCGAAGAAAATGGTTATTCATTTACTTGGCTAATTTTGAATGTGTACACACCACATTGTTTTTCAGTATTAAAAATTGTTCTCCACTTTATTACATATATATATTATATTTATAGCAGTGTCAAGGCTGCTATCAGTTTCTAACTAATTTTATTCCATCTTAATGTTGCTTTTTATCACATTCTCACCATCAGTCCCATGACTGGGTGTGGTCATATGTTTGTTGACCACCTGGCCAGTTCCCTTCACATATCTGGGTTGAAAGCTAGAGATGTATTCATTCAGGCATTGTCTGTATTTGGCAAGTAGATCTGGTGGAGCCCATCCCTCTTCGGGTCAAACTAAAGCTAATATCCTCCATCTTGAAGGCACACCTTGGTCTTGGTCACATGCCTGTTGATTCTATTTGGAAAATTCTGCTGTTGAATTGGTCGACTGTGGCTGGACATATCCTGGTGGGCCATTTAAAGTTTAACCTTCTCTAACATTTTTGGTCTTTTGCCAGACTTGGCTGAGTTTAGTTTACTTTTATCACTCTGTATGTGACTTAATTTGCTGTATAATAAGTTTATCTTACCGCTGAAAGTAACTCTGATCTCTAAACAATAATGTTTGAATTTCATAGTTGTGTTGTCATATCCTGCTATGGCAACTGAAAACAACTTTGAGTGAGATTAACAGTGAGGATACTGTAATTGAGAGGCCTAGAAAAAGAATGCAGTAGGAAAGGAGGTAATATTAATAATGCAGAATACTAAAGGTTAATATTTGTTTGATTACCTGCCATAAATGAATAGTTAACCATTTTGCAAGCCCTTGTAAGAGAGTTTGATTCTTAAGAAGTACTCCATGATTGTAGCTGTGTGCCAAACTATACTTAATGAATACTTATTATAGCTGAATAGTTTTTTCCTGTTCTGTTATCAACATCTTTTTTTATTGTTTCTTAAAAATTATATTTCCTTGTCTTTCTCCAGAACAAGAACAGAATTTACATTCCGAGCTGATCAACTCTTCCTGGTGTGGGATGTTGGCATCTCTCTCTCTGCTTCTTGATGCTAGGTAAGTGGTTTGCCTCCTGTTTTAAAAATTTTTTGCTGGCAATTCATTTCAGCAAATAACAATGGGCATCCATGAAATTTTAACTGTAAATTAAATTTTGAAATCCAATAAAGATATTTGCTGTTAGATTACAAGAACAATGCTTCATCAAGAATTCAGTAGGAAAAAAAAGTGTGCTCCTCTCCCAAATATAAACACAAGATAAAGAAAAAAACAGCTTGAAATTATGAAGTGTTATTTATTTATCTTAATCTGGCATAGGGCTAAATATTTGGTAAATCAAAGAAAGATCATGTTGTGTCAAGTTTTCCAAATGGAAAGGATTTACTTTGAAAAGTCAGCATTGATAATTATGGATTTGAAAATCGATCAGTTGTACAATTGGAGAAATATATATATATCCATTATTTAGTGTAAGTAAAAAAAGTGCTCAATGCAAAATAACAGAGCTATCAATTAAATATTAATAAATATACATAATACCCTACACTGACAGTACAACTCAGTTTCATGCACTATGCAATCCTCAAGTACTGAGGACTGATTCTCAGTACCTGTCGATTGTAAAGCGCATGAAACTCCGAGTCATACTGTCAGTGTGGGTTATGTAACGAAAACAAAATTTTATCATCTAAATGTTTGTTATTATTAAGAGGAAAGATCAAAGTATTTTGGGGGTATTTTTTTTACATTTTTTAATCTTTCCTAGCATGTCCAAAATTTTTGTTAAAAATCTTGTTTTTTTTTTTTGTTTTTTTTTTTTTGAGTCGGCCAAATTGACCCATTTTTTTCCATTTTATAAAAAATTGGAAATCTCACTTTGAAATCCTTTTAAATATCAATTATCATTTTTTCAAAACTTATTTTAAGAAAATCAGAAATTAAAATGTTTATTTGAAATATTTTGAACCAAGTTTAACTTAGCGTCTGCACCGAAAAGATGTAATTTGAAAATAAAACAAAGCAGGACATAAGCTTTTGCCTCACTTGACAGGTGATGAATGACATATTGATGGATTCTGTGAGGCTAATTTGTTCTATGGAAGGAGAAAAGTGAAATAATTTACATTTAAGTGAACAAATTATTTACCTCATTATTTTTAAGAAAAACTTTCAGCGCTCTAATTTATTTTTTTTTGTACTTAGCTTTCACCTTTCCATTTATGATGCTTTATGGAAAATATATTATAAAGAAATTAAAATAAATTTCATATTTCATAAGAAAGGTATCTAATTAATTTATAGGTACCTTTCTTATGAAATTTTATCAGAAATGTATATAATTTTATGTACATTTACTACATTTTACTGTGTCATTTGTATTTCCATTCATTTTATTATTAATTTTGATATTTCATTTATGGAAAGATGTCATAACTGAGATTAATATAAAAATAAGATCATATAAATTTCATAAGATGATACTGATACTTGTAGGCACCCTTCTCAGTTGAAATTGAAAAATCAAATTAACTTCTCCACACGTGTTTCGCAAAAGTAAAGGCCTTAACAGCAGAGAACAATGCAACTTAATTGTATTCTGGTTAGTCTTCCATACTTTATAATTACAGCCCGATTATAAACATAAAATTACATTTCTTAATTACTGCGGATCTTCTGATTAGTCAAAATGATACAATTTACAACACGCTAAAAAAAGATCTATCTCATAAGGAGACTTAGGAAATATGAAGCGGCTTTTAACTAATTTCATAATATTTTAACAACTTAAATGTAAAAAATCTATTATAATTAAGAAATAACAAATAATTGTATTAAAAATTCATTTTTTATCAAAAAAATTTTTTGCTTTCAGAAAATATTGTGCATAATCATAAAAACAACTAAAAGCAAATAAAAGCATTTGAAATTAAATAATATCTTTGTTTTATTGAGTTTTGTATGTTACAATTCAGTGCTGATTTTCAGGTGGGGGGGGGGTCCAATTAAAAACAAAAAAAAAACATGATTTGCATTCCTCAAAGCCTTGTGCTTTTAACTATTATAAACACTAAACCCGATGTGATCGAATTTCTAGCGTTTTCATAAAATTGGTTATGGGGGAGGTAATAAATATATAAAAAAATATTTCTGCCATGACTTTAATAAAAAAAAAACATATTTATAATAATTTCAATCAACTGTGAATAGTTTCTGAAAGTTTCATTAATATCTGATAGTTATTTTTTATTTTTGCAAGATTTTCCAAATTAAAGTGTGTCATACCAAAAAAACATGCGAAAATTTGTCTGTTATTTTACTAGTTCTGATGATACAAAGAGAAACAAAGTTTTTTTTAATCAAAATTTAGAATGTTCTAAAAAGAAGGAAAAATTTAAAAAAAATAATTAAAAAAAACTTTGGTCTTTCCTCTTAATAATAATGTAAGCATTTAGACAATAAAATTTCATTTTCAGCAAGATTGGCGTCTTTTTCATCAAGCTATGCTCTTTTTTTAGTGATTTTGTGGAGGTACCTATATGTCCTCCAACAGTCTGAGAAATGTCAAAGAAAATATACATCAGGCTATATTTATATATATATAAATCATCTGTTTATGTGTCTGGTTTTAAACTCCAAAGCAGTAATAGTTAGCATTAGAAAACAGGAAAAAATATGGCATATTTTAGCATTTTCATTTTAAACCTGTTAGATAATTTTTTTTTTTTTTATTTAACTGTTAGTAAAGTGTAATAAACAAAGAATAAATGGTGTAATATTCCATACAATTTGTTTAATAGTGGATAATTCTTTTAGAATTATTAAATAATTTTATATAAAAACACCTAGAAAAAAGCTAAACTTTCAACAAAAAAAAAAAAAATGAAACTAGTTTCTATTTATTTACATCCATAAATGCTATTTTTTAAATAACCGGAGGCAAAATTTATATTGACAATCAAGATTAAAAGAATAACTGGGGACTCATTTTATTTAATAAAGTTATTAATGATGGTCATACTTGTTTTAAAATCACAAACATTTTACTATGAAAAGGATGAAATGCGTCATGTGAAAACTTTTTCCAACTTTGTCATATATACAGTTGTGGACAGACTGAATTTACCATAAATAGTTGATTCTGTATTTAGTTTTGAATATTTTGTGAAATTTTTAGAAGTTTCAACCTATTGTATTCATAGTTATAGATTCTTCTAAAAATTGGTGCAGTCTGAAATTATTCTCCCCACCTATTATAGAAATTATGAAATTAATATTTCTCTATGGCAATTGTAAATATGGGAATGTCATATACCATGATAACTCATTCGTTTTGCAACCATGGTGAAGAAAGCTGAACTCTACAAGATCCGCCGAATGAAGATAGTTGATGTGTACAAACAAGGTGATAGATATCAATTAAAGACTGGCAGAAAACCGTTAATTTCTGAGAAAATGGAAAGAAAAATTGTTAGAGATGTCTTGAAGAATCTTCACTTAAAGACGAAGGACATTGTCAATGATGTGAAGACATCAGGGTTGAATGTAAACAGTCAGTAGATGCTTTCATCGACCAGGACTTTGAGATTGTTGCCCAAGGAAAACCCCCTTGCTTAAGGCTAAACACTTAAAATGCAGATTAACTGATGCTAGAAGCCATCTAGAATGTGGGAGTAAATATTGGAATTCTTATTATGTTCAGATGAAACCAAACTAGAATTATTTGGTCACATGAAATCTCATTATATATGGCGGAAAGTGAATGAAGCTCACAAATCAAAAGTACCCTCCATCCAATTAAACGTGATTTTGGGGATATTTTGCTGCTTTTGGACCAGAAGAACTAGTGAGAGTAAAGAGCATCATTGATAAAGAACAGTATTTTGTTGTTCTTAAGAATAATATAAAACAAAGTGCATGAAAGCTGTCTTAGGAGCGTCACTAGATGTTCCAACAGGTCAATGACCCAAACCACATACCACAAATTGTTAGAAAATACTCAGATGACAGCAAATTTAAGGTATTGCCGTATCTTGCATAAAGTCCTGACCGAAACACCATTGAAAATTTATGGGCATCTATGAAGAAAAAAGGAAGAGAAAGAAGTCCTTTGAATTTGGAGGAACTAGAATCTTTTGCCAAGGAAGAATGGAGCAAAATATTTATCAGTGTGTATAGTGATCTAAGGAACTATCAAAAATGATTAAAAGGAAATTATCAAGAATAAAGGTTACAAAATTGATTATTGTGGCAAAAGGGCCAATGATCTAGTCTTATGTTATCATACTTATTATAAAACCCAGGTTGTGTGTGTGTGTGTCTGTACGTTTATATATTGGATCAGATTTCCTACATTTTTCAACCGGTTTCAACAAAACTTCACAGGACTACGTAAAATTACCTTACGGTGGTTCTGACAGAACCAAAAATTGGAAAAACACATATTGTTTTTGCACAAAATCAATTCAAAAACATCATTAAGGAGCATCGAGAGAACGAAATGGGGACAACTCATATCAAGTTATACTTATTATAAAACCCAGGTTGTTTGTGTGTGTGTTTATTTATATATGGGATCGGATTTCCTACATTTTTTCAACAGATTTCAATAAAACTTCCCTTTTTTTTTTTTGGCAGGTAGTGTTTCTTATTCTCTTGCACACTTTTTTCTTTATTTTTACATTCAGAATGCTTTAAAAATTCCATTTACAAGACAATTGTTTATAATAAAATTCAATTCAATCGGTAGACTCATAACAATTGAAAACAATGTTTTTGTTTGAGTTTGGGTTTGATCAATTCGTAAAAAAAAAAAAAAACTAATTAAGACATGCGTGTCCATCAACCTTAAACAATAATCTTTGTCAATTTTATTTTTCAGTCTTCATGATACTTGATCTATCTCTTACTGTTACATCCCCGGGCAACGCCGGGCTCTACTGCTAGTCATGGATAAAGAGCAGTATTTGGCTATTCTTAAAAATAATATAAAACAAAATATTTATCAGTGTGTATAGTGATCTAAGGAACTATCAAAAATGATTAAAAGGAAATTATCAAGAATAAAGGTTATAAAATTGATCGAGGCAAAAATTTTGTCGAATGTTAAATGTTTTTTGCATTATTGTTTGACATTAAAATAAAAATTTTGTGAGCATCACTCTGTTTTTTCAAATCCATTATTTGTGAAAAAATGCAAATGAAGTTTCCATGAAAATTTGAGGTATGACAGCTTTATTTGTAATTATGGAAGTGGGCTGAATAATTTTGTCCACAAATCTTCTGTTTTTGAGTTAAGTTTAAAGATTACGGTAGATGCTGTTAAATGTATAATCCAAGAGATAATCTAAAGATATTTTTACAGACTTTTGGGGGTGGGTTTCTGACACCAAAACAAGGTAAAATGTCTGTATGAACATATGTCCAAAATGCCATAGTTGTACCTCGACGCAACAACTTCTAACTAATGTTTAAAATGTCCTCTGCTTGCTTCTGCATATGCATGCACCTATCGGATCATTGACTGGCACAACTTTTCAAACACTCCCACATGATCTTGAATGGTTTCACAAGCCCCTGTGATGCATTGATGAAGCATCTCTGCATTATTAATATCTGCCGCATAAACGAATTTTTAGGTGGCCCACCCACAGATAAAAATCCAGAGGTCAGAGGAATGTGCAGGCCATGGAACTGGTCCTCCCCCACCTCTCTATCTTTTCATGGTAGATGTCAGCAATTGCATCAATGTGAACAATGTGACTAAAATGTGCTTGGAGCCCCATTATGCATGAACCACATGCATCTTTGTATCAGCAGGGGTATATCCTCTAGCAGGTCTGGAAGTGTGTTTGAAATAAAGTCCCTGTAGACAGCTTCTGTGAGACAGGCTGGGAGGACATCGACCTACCATGCAGCCACCTACAATTCCAACCCACACGTTAATCATAAACTGATGCTTTTGTCTAGCCTGTATTGTACCATGGGGATTATGATTTGAACACAAATGTTGGTTGTGTAAATTTATTCGATTTATTTCAAATGTTGCCTCATCTGTAAACAAGACTGAAGAGACAAACAACAGATCAGCAGTTTGCGCAATACACTATTGGCAAAAGTTCTCCCATAGTGAGTGATCAGAGGGTGAGAGACCCTGCACACATTGCAAATGATAAAGATATAGTAGCTGGTCTTGAAGTACTCTCCATGTGGTACTATGAGATGTATGACATGCTAGGGCCACTTGACATGTGCTGATACCTGGATCATCTCCGACAGCCTGTAGAATATATTCTCTGCGGTCAGGCATACAAGAGGATCTCTGTCTTCCTTGATCCATAGTTTGTGATGCCACATATACTGTCTCAGCAATGCGACGATAAACAGCAGCAAAATTTGAAGAACACTGCTGCCTTTAATCTGGAAATACAATTTGATACAGCCATACAGCCTCACGTCTTACCATCCACATGGTCATATATAAAAATCATGTCTGCCTGTTTGCAATATGAAGTTCCTGCCATTGTTGCCAAGTCTACATAGCAACACAGTGCCATCTGCTAGAAACTTTCTTTGAACTTAATAACTCAAAAACAAAGGATTTGCAGACAAGATTTATCCTTGATTTGCTGTGAGGAACCCACCCCCAAAGTTTGTAAAAGTATTTTTGACACACCTCGTAATGCAGATTCGTTCATGCACTAGTTAATTTGTCTCAAGTTTCTTATAAATGCATAAAACACACCTTGTAATGATGTGAGGAATATCTTCCTTTCCAATAGGCAGTAATTCTCTCCAGTCCCAGACTTCCAAGCCCAGCACTAGAGCCTCACCTTCCCATTACTCTAGATCCATTGCTAATTAATCCAAAATTTGATAAATGCTTCTTGTCACTTACAGCAAGCAAGATATTTTGAGAAGGAAATATATTCTTGATGTACACTGACATTGTCCTCTAAGTGTTTCAGTGCTTTTTTTTATTTAGAGATTCTTGATAATATTAATAAGAATCTGCAATGTTTTTGGTCTTGACCTGGCATCTTGGCTTCAGTTACTTTTCCACTGCCATAACGTAGCTTCCTTGAGTTTTTTCTATAAATATTTTCATGGTAATTGTTCTGAGATTTTGTATATGGTAGCTAGATTTCATGAATTTAAGCATAGTGTTAGATTGGTGGCAAGGTTTTATCATTTTACAGTTGAAATGACGAGATATAACTGGAATTTCTATGCTGACAGTTTCTTCTCTTGCACTTCTTGTTTGTGAAACTCTCTTCTGGCTTCTTGCTTTCCAGTCAACTTTGATCTTTACAAATTTAAATGCAATGTCAATCGTTATCTTCTACCTCAATTCCTGTTCTTTTATTATTCTTTCTCCTTATTAATGTGTCTTAGTGGCTTTATTGCCTGTCTTAGGATGAAATAATTCCTTGTATTATCATCCTATGTCTTCTACCTCTTTTTGGCAATGTACTAAAAGTTCTGATCAACTCCAGATTAGTTAAGCATTCCACTTAGCATAGTCTTCTTTCAGACAAACAATATGGCTTTCACTTCTCTAGGTCAACTGCTGATGTGTTCTTAGTGAAAGAGCCTGTAAAGCTTTAGATAAGAACAAAGTTCGGGCTGTGGTTTTAGATATCTCAAAGGTGTTTGATAAGGTTTGGCATGCTGGGCTTCTTTATAAGATGAAGGGCTATCGTTTCTCAGTTCAAATATTCTTAACTAATAATATAATGAATATTGTGTTAAATGGCAACTCTTCTAGATCCTTTCATATTGATGCAAGGGTCCCCCCCCAGGGCTCTATCCTTAGACCTAGTTTGTTTCTTATCTTCATCAACAACGTTCTTGATGTCATCAGTTCCCAACTTGGTATTTATGCTAATGATACAACTGTCTTAATTCTTCTTTATCTGCTGTGTTTACTCAGAATGTAGGCGATCATGGTTCTCCACAGCTTCCTGTCCTTAGTAACTCTTAATAAATTTTGTCTTTTTGTTATTTCTCCTAAACCCTGTTCCACCATCTATTTACTCAAGCTAACTAAGTATGTTATGCATTGTTTTTCTCTGTCCCTCTTGCCCTCTATCTGACCCGTAAATCTCAGATTTTCCATCCCTCCTTTCTCCTTATGGGCTCCAAAACCTCTTTCCTGGTGTTAAGTATTAGCTTCCTTTTGTTTCCATTTTCTCCAAAACTTCATTGTTGCTCTCATGTTTGGTCCATGGTATACTCAGCATCCTTCTGTAAAACCACATTTTTGTTGCTTCAAGTCTCTAATTTGAGGAGATTATTGAGCATTCGCTACCATACAGGAGGACAGATATCATGTAATAGTTCACTACTCTTTTCCTTGTTTCTAGCAAAATTTTTCTGTCTTAGTACTCTATTTACATTATTCAGACTATTGTCCTCATCTTTGTCACCATATTTATTACAACATTTAAATTTTGTACGCTCAGGCCTTCTTCAGGTGGTTGGAATGTCAAACTGAACACTTTTTCGCTCACTGATGTAGACTGTTCTAATTCCATGTGCCATGTCTAATGGATGTCAGTTATCTCCTGCTTAATTCCCTCTCCAATTCTCTACCACCTTAAACAGGTATTGAACTCACACTCTTTGGGTCCTGTCACATGATCTAACTAATGGTGGTAGAGAACTTGGAGATGGGATTAACAGGAGATAACTGATAACTGACATCCATCAAAACTGGCACGTGGAACTAGAACAGTCTACCCCAGTGAGCAAAATAAAGCATTCAGTTCGACATTCCAACCACCTGAAGAAGACCAGAGTGCACAATGGCCGAAACATTGTAATAAATATGGTGGCAAAGATGAGGACAATAGTCTGAATAATGTAAATAGTGTACATAATACCTCATCTTAGAAATATAGACAGATACTGAAAGGCCAAAACGTTGTAATAAATATGGCAACAAAGATGAGGACAATAGTCCGAATAATGTAAATAGTGTACATAATACCTCATCTCAGAAATATAAACAGATTGTGAAGGGCCGAAACGTTGTAATGAATATGGCAACAGAGATGAGGACAATAGTCCGAATAATGTAAATAGTGTACATAATACCTCATCTCAGAAATATGGACAGATACTGAAAGGCCAAAACGTTGTAATAAATATGGCGGCAAAGATGAGGACAATAGTCTGAATAATGTAAATAGTGTACATAATACCTCATCTCAGAAATATGGACAGATGTCTTAGTACTGTTTAGATTTTGGAAGGCATCCTTGGCTATCCCAACACACCTTAGTATAATCAGTTTATTATGTGTCATGCGTGATATATGCTTAGGCTATCATGTATCTTTTGATACATGATTGATGAGGCAGATTTTTTCCTGCACTAGGCTGCCATTTCTTTCTGTGGTACACCAGTTACCATCCGAGGCTATAGAACCTGATCTGTCCTACTATAGCTGGGCTTAGTATAATAGTAATTCCTATAGGTGTGACATGACAGCTTATTTGTTTTTTTATATTTTATTTATATATAAATTTTCTTGTGTTATTTTTTTATTTTTTCGGCTGCTCTTTCAGAAAATTGTCTTCAGTGAAATAAGGGTTATATTTGACTTTTACAAACACACACACAATTTGTGAGGTGGTACTGAAAAGTTCTTGGTTAAATTCGCTTTTTAAAATATGATCAAATGACAAGAATAAATAATTGAAAAAAACTGAATGAAAACTGTTCAGTGTTTATAATGAACGTTTTTTTTTTTTTTTGTTTGTTTCTTTTCAGCACTGATGAAAGCGCTACAGAGTCAATCCTCAAGTCCCAGCAGATCTATGCCAGTCTATGTGGCCAGATGTCGATGAACACAGCAAGAGATGCATTCATCACAGCCTTGTGTAAAGCCTCTTTGCCTCCTCACTATGCTCTCACTGTGCTCAATTCTACCCAGACGGCTGGAGACTCAAGCACGGCAGCTGCTTCACCAAAAGGTAAACAAAATTTGAATCTTGTGGGGTGAATAAGCACACATTTGAGTATAGATATATAAATTGTGCCTGTAGTTAAGTATGTGTGTGTGTGTGTGTGTGTAATATATATGTAGTGTCGACACCAAATGGCATCAACCTGTTTTATACTTTAATACAATCTTTAGGCCATGTTTGTTGGATAGTAGCTTGACTATGTGTTAGCCAATAGGATATTAAGGATAGCGGTCATTCATTTCTGGTTTATTGAATAGGCAGAAATGATTATTTTAAATTATTCTTCAGACAATTGACCTTAATATATTTTATTGATAAAAGCTTTTCTGATTAAATAATATCTTAGTTTTATTGCATGTTTTATTTTATGATTAGTAACTTGGAGTGTGCGGGGGGGCGCTCCAGTTTTACAAAACTAAAATGATTTAAGTTCTCTGTAACTAATATGAACATTAAGCTTTACAAAATTTAATTTCTCAATTTCATAAAATTAAGTTGTGGATAATATATGTACAAAAAAAATATATTTTTTCAAGATTTTTAAAAAAACTCATTTCTAAAATAATTTAATTCTTTTGTGGATAAGTCCTGAAAGTTTCATTAAAATACAACAATTATTTTATTTTTTTTGCAAGAATTTCCAAATCAATGGGGTTTTTTTATCCCTAAAAATGGCATTAAAATTTGTTCTGCTTATTTATAGTCTGCCCGTTGACATAAGAGGAACAAGATTTTTAACCAAAATCTCAAATGTTCTGAAAAGGTTAAGAAATATAATTAAATAATCAAAAATACTTAGGTTTTTCCTCAAATAATAGCAAAGATTTTGATGATAAAACTTTGCTTTTACCAAGTTTAGGGCATTTTTTCATTATGGAATGCACGTTTTTAGCTAATTAATGGAGGTAGGTAATTCATATGTATGTCTTTATAATTACATGAATCATAAGTGTGTATACATAGTGTGGTGCACATATTTTTACATGGCAGCAGTGCCATGATGTCACAGTGTAACGAGGTTTTGAGAGTGCCATTAGAAAGTCCTACACCTCAGTAGCTGTCTCTGGCCATTGACACACATGGTGCTTAGTAATTGATAATGGTTGGTCCTGGCTGTGACAAGGTCAAGATTGGTGAAAACAAGGAATGTAGCTTGTCTGAATAACCCCCATTAAAATAGTGATAGAGTATCAAGAGGCTAGCAACGTTTTGTCTGTGGGGAAAGTGGTTGTAGGGTGGAAAAGAATACATCACCTACAAGGCTACACAAATGCTTTTGAACACTATCAAAGCTGGAAAGTGAAGATTGGGCAGTTCCAGCCCAGATGTGCCAGCAATACTCCATTTTTGGTTTGAGCTATAAAGATAAGAGCATAGCAGAAGGGGTTGGATATTTTGTTTCTAGCATCTTTTAGGACAGAACATATATACTGGGTGTGATGGATAAATTGTCATCTAACTTACAAAAAAATGAAAATAACACTAATATCTCATTTTAACAAATATATTTAACAAAATTACACAAAAATATTTTGAAATACTGAAGAGTAAGTTTATTCAATAGAATTGCCATTGGCTTTAAACATCGCCTCCAGACGACTTCAGAATCTCTTGCAACTCTTCTGGACAATCTCCTTGTTTAAGTTGGTGAATGCTGCCATGATCCTTGCCTTCAGTTCATCTTTGGAGTTACAAGGAGTTTTGTTGATCTCTCACTCAACTGTGCCCCACACACAATAATCAGCTGGCTTGACCCAGGGTAGCACTATCTCCTCAAGGCACTTGATGTAGGCCTCCATGTTAAGTCTGAGGCTCTCACCAACAAATTTGGAGGTTCTTATCAGAACGAGTTTTCTGAGCTGCTGTACCTTCGTAATCATCATTAGACTCATCCAACTCTTTCCAAATTCTCTGGTCTGTCCTCTGATTGACACCCAAAACACCCTGATGTGTTTGTATTGGAGCTTCCAGAGTGAATACTAAGCAGTACAGCATGACATTTCCAAATTTCTGGCTGAGCGAATAGCATCATGCTGCTCATTTTCTAAAAGATGGTGCCCAACTGACTCTACTATATTGTGCAATGAAATTAAAAAAATATAAAATGGCAACAATTTATCCATCGCACACTGTATGAGCTACACTTGAGGTCTGGAGTTAGCTTGAGTCCCAATAGCCATTCCAGACAAGGAAGTTCACTTGTGAACAAACACATTTGGGTGAACACATCTGGTTAGCTCGTGAGGAAAAATGTTTACAAGTTGCAGACATGTATTTCTGTTGACTTTTTGAAGCGCATTTAACTTAAGCATGTTTAGGGAAAAAAGTCTGTTTTTGTTAAGTCATTTTTTTTTTTGTAGTGAAAGTTGGTTTGGTTTTAATAGTCAACGTTTAAATTTTATAAGCAATGAATTTTTAGCTTGGCTGCATCATTAATTTGAAAAGGTTGATGAAAAAAGTGTAAGAAGTAATAAAAAAGTTTTCACTTTAAACCCATTCATAAGTAAGTGAAGACAGATTTATGAACAGTAATCATAATTTGATTTGTAGAACACACACCTAACTACTTGAGCGTTTATCTCTTTTCATCATTTATTCTCCATTAAATGAAAAGCAGATGGAAATATTTAGCTATAACTTTATCTATACATCCTCTGCAGATTTTATTCAGTTATGCATGGACCTTTGCCTTAATAAATTCATTTGAAATGTCAAAAAGGACAAAATAAAATCAATCAAAAAAGAAACTCTGTGATTTTATTTGAAATTTTAGTCTTGGCAGAAAAACTATTTAACATAAAAGAAAAATACACAATTTAGTAAAATGTAACAAATCAAAAATAGTTGAAGATTAAAGTCTAAAAGAAAAAATAAACCAAAAAAAACCCCCAAAACTGAAGAATTGAAAGAACAGAAAAAAAAAAACCAATTAAAAAAGAAATTACAATTTAGAAGCTCTATAAGGAAAAAGTGTCATTTTGGAAAATGGTATTTGTCGATGAATTTTTGTTTCTTTGTCATTTAATTTTTTATTACTTTATGTTGTTTTTAATGTCAGAATTTTAATATTTTCTTTGTTGTAATTGCTTCAGTATTTAGTGAATGAAGCCAAAGAACATTTTTGTTCAAATGGCCTTTTTATTTTGTTTTATTTTTCTGTTTTCTATCTTTTTTCCATCTCTGTCTGTTTTCTGTCGCTATCTTTTTCCTCCTCTTTGCTCATGTTTTTTTCCCCTCTTTGCTCATGTTTTTTTCCCCTCTTTGCACATGTTTTTTTCCCCTCTTTGCTCATGTTTTCCCCCCCCTCTTTGCACATGTTTTTTCCAACTCTTTGCACATGTTTTTTTCCCCCCTCTTTGCACATGTTTTTTTCCCCTCTCTGCACATGTTTTCCCCCCTCTTTGCACATGTTTTTTTCCCCCTCTTTGCTCTTTGTCCGCCTTCTCTGCCCTTTGCTCTTTGTCCGCCTTCTCTGCCCTTTGCTCTTTGTCCGCCTTCTCTGCCCTTTGCTCTTTGTCCGCCTTCTCTGCCCTTTGCTCGTGTTTCCCTCCCCCTCTTTGCTCGTGTTTCCCTCCCCTTTGCTTTTTCTCCCCTGTTTCCCTCCCCTTTTGCTCGTGTTTCCCTCCCCTCTTTGCTCGTGTTTCCCTCCCCTCTTTGCTCGTGTTTCCCTCCCCTCTTTGCTCGTGTTTCCCTCCCCTCTTTGCTCGTGTTTCCCTCCCCCTTTTGCTCGTGTTTCCTCCCCCTCTTTGCTCGTGTTTCCCTCCCCCCTCTTTGCTCGTGTTTCCCTCCCCTCTTTGCTCGTGTTTCCCTCCCCCTCTTTGCTCCCCTGTTTCCTCCCCCTCTTTGCTCGTGTTTCCCTCCCCTCTTTGCTCGTGTTTCCCTCCCCCTCTTTGCTCGTGTTTTTTTCCATCTCTTTGCCATTTCTTTGTCTTGTTTTTTTTTCATTCTTCATTTTTGCTACTTTTGTTTTTCTTTCAATTAATCTTTCTCAAAGGAAAGAATGAAAATGATAAAATAACTGTTCTTATCAAAATGAAATCATAAGGAATGTTGTACACAAATTCTGAATAAAATAGCAAATGTATTTTCTTGTATAAAATACAAAGTAATTGTAAGTGCCAAATAATAAGACTCAACATTAAATGTGCATCTCCCCTTTGCCTGAATAAAAGTAGCTACACAAGAGTGGTATGGAGCCTGTGCAATGTTAATGTCATTCAGGTACATTCCAGGATTGTCTATAACTGAGCTGTGCTTGTAACTAAGGTCTGCCTTGCTTAATGAGCAAAAAAATTGATGATGATTGGGGATCGGCAATACAATATATAAAATCAGCTAAATATTTCAAGAACCAGTTTTGTATCGCCCATGCACAGTGGTTGGTTGTAATGTTGCTCAAAGAAATATATCAAGCATAAGAGTGCAAATTGCTACAAGAGCTGTTCAATTTCTGGTCAAGGTAAAGGCCCATCTCTTTGTGGACAGAGCATATGATTAAAAGAGATTAAAAGAGCATTGGATTAAAAGATACGCCTGCAATACTAGTTTAGAGAGGCTTATAGATTCCTATAAATTAATTTAGATACAATAGATTGACTGAATTTTTTTTGTGTGTGTGTTTTGTAGAATAGAAAATGACTGACTTCATGTGGCAAAGCAAACACTTATATGCCTGGTGTACAAAATGAGTGAAGGAAAGGAAAAAAGAAATATGTCCACCCTAACACCTTAATTTAAGGAAGATGTGGGATTAGAGCTACGAGAATTGGTTAGAGTGATTGGGTGTTTGCAAATTTTTTGCAAGATCAGCTCGGCATAAAAAACACCATGCGATAGAGAACAGAACACTCATGAATATGGTACTGCTTATATGGAAAGACTTTGTCAGTTGGGAAAGCTTTTGGGTCAGTTTTTAATGCTATTTCTGTTCAGGATGAAGGTAATCATGATTCTCCACAGCTTCTAATTTAATATTTGTTATTGTAAACTGTCCATAGTCATGCTCATTGAAATTTACTTGCTTTCTGTTTCAGAGACTAGTTAGCCTACTAAGGCTAGAGAATCGAGTCTGCCATACTATAGCTGGGAGGAGAACAGATAGCTTCATTCCTTCCCCAAAGTTACTGGTGTAAAGTTAACATCACAGTCTTCTCTATCAGAATTAGAACCTAGCCTGTCAATACCATTTTCTATGTTGATAAGCATTATGTGCCTTGAGATGTGTGTATGATAAAACAAGTTCTGTTGAAGTTTTTTTATTTTGTGTTTGTTGAATATATGGGCATGTGGCTGAGTGGTTAGAATGTTTGCTTTCTGACCATGAGACCCGGGTTCGAATCTCACCACGGTCAATTTGTCAGGAAGGAGACTTCCTGATGTTATGGGTCTGGCGGTGGATGATCCCAGCATGTGCCACCTTTTGGAAAGTGCCTGAAAAATCATACTACTGGCTGACCCAAGCCTTGTGAGTGAAATTGGGTAGACAGAACACTTGGGGGACTGTCGATAGCTGTGCTAACATGAAATCACAAGTCATCATGACTAAGGTTTTGAGTGTGATGGCCTTGTTCAGATTGTTGATCAGGGTAGATAACATGCTCTCTCCCGGAAACTGTAACTAAGGTCTGCTCAGCATAGTTGCAGTATAAACCACAGGTGGGCTCAGTGAGTGTTGAGCAAACACAAATGTGCCTGAACGAGTGTCTGAATTAGAGATTGGCTACCCTAGTAGATGGGTATCCTTGAATACGAGTGGCCAGGTATTATTATTTGCTGAATAGTAGATTAAAATGCAACTGATTTGACAGGTTTGTAAAATGTATATTTGTTAGTGCTAAAGAAATATTACTTGCAGATCTGTCAGTTGGAGTTGTTTATTTATCTGGAATTGCATCATGGCAATGTAGTTTATAATGAGATTTTTTATTTAAGCTTTTTTTTTCTTCCTTTAATAAAACAAGCCCGGAATCATGTCTAGAAATTTATTTAGGATGTTACTCTTGTTCATTGTTCTGCTTCACTATTGCTTTCTTTTCATATAACATTGATAAAAACATCAACTCAGCTGTTCAGAAGTTCAAATACTTGAGACATGGGATGATGTTTATGGTGGGTGGGAGTCTTTTTTTCAAGTCAAAATGAGATTTAATTTAGTTTTGTGTAAATATTTTAACGTTTTTTTTTTCATTTATCTAAGAAAAAATTCTCAGTTAGGTTTGTGACCTTTTTTAGCCTGTTAAACTCAAAGATCAAATAAACAGAAACTTGGCTGGGTGATTGTTTCTTTTACAAGTTTTCTAATACATATATCTTTAACATTGAACTCAGTGTGTGAACAGATAAGTCAAGTCAAAAATCTTCATTAAAACCCTGTCGGGGTGGAGTTGAGACAAACCTTTATTATTTAACCTAACAAGGATGGTTTTGAAAAAACAAAAGCACCAATTTCTGGTTCAACTTTAAGAAAATCTTGGACTAACTTTTGTATGTGTGTTTTTATATAATAGAATAAATTCAATAAATATTATTGATAGGCATTAAACTACAATCTTCCATGATTCTCTCACATAGATTCATATCTGCTCAATGCATATCCAAATGTAAACAAATGACGTCACACATGAAATGGACAAAGCCCGACAATTATTTTAAGACATTTTTAGGTTTAGTAAAAAAGCAGTAAAATCGACCTTGCTAACTGAAGGCTCCTCTGTGGCCCAATCAGTTAAGGCACATCAGGCTATATGACGGTTCCATATAGGATACAGGTTTGATTCCTGTCAGAAGACAAATATTTTCTATGAAAATTTCTTGGACATTCAGGCTGGTAAATGTTATTAATACTGTTTATTATAAAAACAGAGCATTTACTTAAATATTTGTATCTATAAAAAGAATGTATAAACATAAAAATGTCTTAAAATATATATATATATATATATATATATATATATATATATATATATATATATATATATATATTTTTTTTTTTTTTTTTACACATAATTCTTGAGTCTAGGTAAGAATCCTCAACAGAATTCAGTAAGCACTGGACAGTATTTGGGGGGGCTCCTCAGCAGTGCACATCCATTACTGAGAATATATTGAGTCTAGTTAGTTTCCTCTTCATCAATGGTGTCCACTGACCCAGATGGTATGATGCTTGCATTGTATCGTAATGGTCTGGGTTCGATTCTCAGAAGTGGCTGTGCACGGCTGATGAGTCCCAGAAAACAGCATAAAACACCTGTCAAGTGCTTTTTATGTTCCAGACTTGATGAATTATGTGAAATTATTCACATCTCCCAAAATTTCTATTACATACAACACATATATATATATATATATATATATATATATAAGCAAATATATGGATATAAATCTGACAGTATGAAGAAAAATACAGAAAAACAAAATTCTGAATATGACATTATTAATGTTAAAATAAAATTTCATGGACATTTTCATTAAGATGGTATTTAAGACCAAGTCATGGACATTTTCATTATTTTAACATTAATAATGCATATTCAGAATTTTGTTTTTTCTTTCATATATTTTATATATATATAGTTTTAAAAACTAGGAAACCATTGATTTTAATATTAAAAGTCTCTAGAGCCTTTTCAGCCAACATCTCATCAGGAGACAATCGTTTTTAGACGAAATGAATAATAGCGATATTGAAGAGCAAAAAAAAGGGGGAAACACACTAAAATAACGAACAAGTATATATATATATATATATATATATATATATATACAAAAGAAACCTACAAAAGCATACCTACAGATCCCTTCCAGAATACCAAAAAATTAACTAGCTCACTAAACTTAATGTTCAGAACAATCTAATGTGACAAGGAAACATGCACAACACTTACACCCACAAACATTACACCTGCCCGCTTCTATCTCCTTCCTAAAATACATAAAAGCAACAATCCAGGAAGGGGTCATTTCATGTTCAACTGCCACAACAAAAATTTCCAAATACATAGACCATTACATACAACCGCTAGCTAAGGAAGTAAAATCCTACATCAGAGACACAACAGATCTACTGAACAAAATTAATCACATACAAACAGTACCAGAGAAAGCTATTCTAGTGACTATGGACGTTAGGTCATATATTCAAACATTAAAAACATCATCAAGGGCTGGCCACCCTTCAGGAAGCACTTACTAAAAGAAGAAAACAGGACCCCCCACAGAAGTCATCATAAAACTCATGGAGCATGTCCTTACATTGAATACTTTCAACTTCAATGGAGCACACTACCTTCAAATAAGAGGTTGTGCCATGGGCACCATTGCAGCTCCATCATATGCTACAATTTCATGGGAAAATTTGAAAACCCATATCTATCCAATCATTGGTAGCGACTTCTATGCAAGATATATTGATGATATATTCTTTGTATACACGGTAGTGATGACAAACTTTTCCTTATGACCCTAAACACAGCGCATTGACTCAATTAAGTTTGAATAAGAAAAATCCACAACATCAGTAACATTTTTAGACACCCGCATTTACATAGATGAAAACAGGAAACTACAAACGACACTACACACTAAAATCACCGACACCCACAACTATCTACACTTTAAGTCTTCCCACCCTAAACACCTCAAAGCGAACCTTCCCTATTCACAAGCACTTAGACTCAGAAGGATATGTTCCAACAATGAAGAATTAAATAAACACATTGAAAATCTGGAGCATCAATTCACAACATTGTGGCTATAAACAACACCTAATCAGGGAACAAATAAATAAAGCAATTTCCACACCTAGAGAAAGACACCCTAATATACAAGATTAAAAATAAATCTAGCCGCATCCTCTAGTAACCACTTTCAATCTCATCTGCCTCCACTATCCCAAATAATCAAATGTCGCTAGGAAATACTACATCTCAAACCAGACCTAAAAACTGCTTAAGGAACCCGGCCTTCTTGCATATATATAGACCTAAGAACCTAAAAGAAATCATAG